CTTGTGCTGACAAAACTTCATTTACAGAACAGACAAATGTACCACTGCCCACACAGAGCTTGGATACATACTGGTGAAGGAATGCAAGGCATGTGGTGAAAAAGGATGACTATTCTGTATCAGGTATGTACAGAGTCTCGGTTTTGCTGTCATTCAGGGAAGAGTTAAATACTGGGTTTTCCCTACACATGTTCCCATTCTAGTGAGCTCCTATCTTGTCTGGCACAAAAGAAATAAAATTTCACCTGCAGAGGCAGTAAGTTTGTTACATTTGGGCTACAAACTTGATACCACTGTATGTGCTCCATTGAAAGTTAACTCTTGCAGCATTCAGACCACAGCAGTCTGGCTGTAAAGAACAATCTAAACCAGGATTTCAGTTGCTGTCTTCTGTAAACACAAGCTCTCAAAATGAAAACATACGTCTGTATGCAGCAGGCAGTGAGTGCAACAGCAGTCCTGCCTAGGTATAAATTTAATGACTCAAAACCCATGGCTCCAGTTTCCATGGATATAAACAAGATGACACCTCTCCTCAACTCATTAAAAATACAAACAATAATCAAAAAAAGCACTATGCAGGATCACAGGAATAAACCTCTGAGAAAGTGAGTGAATGGAGGCTTAGTGCAGAGCTACTGGATAACAGACAGCAGCAAGATATCCTTTTGGGCAGAGCAGAGCCCTCAAAATCAGAGCCAGCTGAAAAAGCAAACAGTGCCCCCAGCAGAACTGTGCACACCAGCAATGAGCAGATCCTCCTGAGCAGGGCAGGGGTGCTGGTGCCATCCTCCTCTGGCTGAGTACAATCTCTCTGCATCCCTCCAACCACACCATAAGCATGGCTTGGCTCCCTCCCTCCTCCATTGCCTGCCTTCTGGAGCCCAGGGCAACGCAGCAAGATTTGCTCCCTGGGAAACAGCATCTGTCCCAGCAGTCTGGAGATGGTGGAGGGCAGATGGAACCTCCACCCTCCACGTGGCTTTCCACCCTCTGCCTGGCTGGCCTTCAGCAGAGGCACGGTCCTGCCACCAGCTCCCAGGATGTGCCTTCGATCCTCTGCGGACACTTGGCCCTTGGGAACCACGACACACAGGAACAAGGAAAAGAGCAACAGGCATTCTCAAACATGAGAAAAAAATTCTTCAAAACTTACTTTGAGTGTATTTTGACTGGGTTTTGTGTCCACTTGCTCCTGCATTCATATTAGCAGTTTCTGTGCTTGCCAAGGTTACAGGGAGTTGCTATTAGAAGTTTGTTTGGAGGCTAAACTGCCAAAAAAAGTGCAAACAAACCCCATGCCAAAACAGCACAGCATTCATTCATTCAGAGCAAGGTGATGTGAGCTACATAAAAAATCTAAAAAAGAAAAGTTGTTTTTGAAAGCCCATGCAATCTTCTGACTGATTTGTTTTGGTCAAATTGGCTACACTCCTTTCAGGGAGAGAAGGTAAAAGACCAACATCCAAAAGCCACCACTTCAATACTTTTTGTGAGTTCAGAAGTGTTCGCACCCACTACCTTGTGTGCCTGTGCAGAAGAAATGCAACCAGCAGCAGGGAAGCTACCAGGCTACCTTCTGTTTAAGTATCCTTGGCTCAATGCTAGTTCAAGTACCTTTTTTCTGCAACATTTAGCAGAGTAACCTAAAGCAGCCTGATTTTAATGACATAAATGTAAAATAATCAAGCTCAGGACTTCAAGACCATGAATCCTCATCAGGGCTGGCTGAACTCCCATTTGTAAATCCTACAGATTAGTTCTATTTACTTCTTTCATGAGGAACAAAGAAAAGAAGAAAAAAGGATTAAATACAATCAGCCTGAGCTGGAAACGGGCTTCTCTGTGTCTCCTGCACAGACTGGGATCTCAGAGCAGTAGAAAGCAGACACAATGGCAGCAGGACTGGTGTGTGGCAGAGCTTCACCAGGCTGGGGCAGCGCCTGAAGCAAAGCAAGGCTATTGTAGCACAGGAAGGCTCTCCTCAGTGTGAAGAGAGGCAGCCAGGAGAACTGTCTGCACCTCACTCACTTTCATCTTAATTCCTTAGGCCACAAAACATTTGGCACTGGTTTGATATATCATCTTTCAGTTAAGCATGCATATGGATAACACTCAGCTGAAAACAGAAAAGAAGAAAAAATAAAAAAATCATACTAAATCATACTATCCTTAACAGACAAGTTAAACCTGCTTATCTGCAGAGGAATGAAAATCTTTTTTCAGTAACAGCTGAATCCCATGAGAAAGCAGTCATAGATGTGCACCAGAAGACCACATACCAGCATGACCAAGTGGCTTCCTACATGAGAGAAACTGTTTAACTCAAGATACTGAAAATCCACAAGAGACTCAAATGGTAAAATCAACATTGAGCTGCCAAAGACATGCAATAAATGTGACTTTTAATAATCTCTTCCACCACCACTCAACAACAAGAAGCTTGCATGGCTGCTCCCAAGTACAAGCATGTGCCTTTATGCCCACCACGTGTCACAGCCCAAGTAAACACACGAGCTCAGAACTGGCTTGGCAATCCCCAAGCAGTGACTCTGTGGCTTGTGGCACATGCCATGCCCAAAACTGGGCTACTGGATAAACACCAGTACCTTTGCTTGGTATGAGCCACAGGATATCCTACCTCCTCCTGCTGTGCAGTGGGGAAACACAGATTACTTGGGGTAATTTTTAAGACCTGCACTTTGCTTTCTATCCCCTAAGATAAAAGGATTTAAGTTGAATTCTTTTAAATGCAAAAAAAAAAAAAAAAAAAAATTCAGCCTCATCTTTCAATGTGCCCCCTTAACTGTGCACCTCACCTGTTTATCACTTCTTATAGCTCCTCAAACTGTGACCTTCCAGGGACAGACAAACTCCAAATGATACATCCATATAACAGACAAAGAAGCTCCTTGCTTCCAATTGCTTCCAAAAAGTTTCTATTGGGTCACTGTGCAGGTTTTACTGGAACTGCCCTCCTTCTATGAAATTATAACTGAGTCTAACTGGCATAAGAGGGGCAAATGTTCTGATTCTTCCAGGTTAGGGCAGGTAAAAGAAAAAGACAATCTTCTTGACCATCAAAATACACCACATGATCTATGTGGTTATTGCTGTTTCTGTTCAATGCATTGGTTTGAGCCAATCAACAAGAAACTGTGAGACTGTTCTGAGTGAAAGCATCTCCTAAACACTGCAAAGAACATAAGCAGTAACCATTCCTCATTCCTTATGTCAGACCACAAGCAAAAGAGCTCAGTCGGAGCGAGTCAGGGTGAGGAAAGAGAGATTCCAGATCCAGTCCTGCCCTGGAGGGATCCTACAGTGACCTACACTGCGCCCAGGGCTCACCAGGTCTGGGCTCTCTGGAAAACACCAGCACCACCCTCCCTTTCCCAACCCACACAGCCCAGGGACACAAGCACTGTGGATGGAGGTGGACTTACCCAGGTGCACAGAGGAGGCCACAGAAGGCTGAGCTGTAGAGCCAGGTTCCCTGCTGCTGCTTCAGTGAATGGTAAATATTCACTGGAAATGAGACACGGCTTCAAGAACCACGAGAACTGCAGGTGGAAATACTGCTCTCCAGCAAGGCTTCTGCCAGCAAAATGCTCACCATTGCTCCTGGGGAATGGCTGACAGGAATGAATGCTTCCAGAATGAATGAATGAATGAACAGAGCTTCCAGAACTTTCCAAGAGTTGGAAATCTCTCTTGCTCCCTTCTCTGCAATGCTTATACAACAATACACTATCGTTCATAGCATAGTATGCTGCTATTCAAGAGGATTTTTCCTCACCCTTCCACCTCCAAAAATTGTTTTGGTTCCAGAATTATTTTTAATACTCATCCAGACTCCTGAGTTTTAAATGCTGAACAATCCTACAATACTCACCTTATCATAAAAAACAGTGACTTCAGATGAGGCAAAGATGCCTTAGGAAAAAACAACCAACCACCACTACCAACCACAACAGCCACCCAGCACTATGCATAGGACACTTGAGTTCAATTTGGATATTAAATAATTCCTGGGGAGACCTACTTTCACTATCCACTGTAAAGATTTTTGAGAAAATGAGCTCGTTGCTGTGGAATTAATAATACATCTATGCAGATTGATATTCCCAGGAGATAAAGGGAAAGGGAAAAACATTAAAAACTGATGCTCCTGGCAAATGAAAAACTAATGGACCATATTTCCCTTGAAGGGATGGGAGGTGTTTTTATTTTATTTCACTCTGATGACTAGGCAAGATTTGTTCTCAGGGAGCACCATCTCCAGCTAAAAGGAAACACCTTGAAAATTTTGTATAAAATGTGGAGGAGAGCATAAGTCATCATATACCAAATATGAAGAGCCCTGAATGATCACATGCTGCAGCAGAATGTAGCTCTGATTATGATTTACTTGAAAACCAAAATAATTCTGCACCATTCCAACCAGATGTTTCTGTGTAAGTTTGACAGGAACATCAGGGATTCAAACTGCAACCAAAGCCACTGTCAACTGTTTTTCCAGATCTCACCTCCATTGCCATCTGAGGTTCAACAAGGCCAAGTGCTCAGAGGTGACCTTCTCTCTCTCCAACCACCTGGAAGGAGACTGTAGCCTGGTGAGGCTTGGTGTCTTCTCCCAAGTAACAGGATAAGAGCAAATGACCTCAAGTTACACCAGTGGAAGTGAACACTGGGTATTAGGAAAAGTTTCTTCACTGAAAGGGTGGTCAGGCACTGAAACAGGCTGCCCAGGGACATGGGAGCACTGTCCCTGGAAGTATTTAAAAGACATGGTACTCAGAGACATGGTCTAGTGATGGACTTGGCAGGGCTGGGTTAGTGGTTGAACTGGATGGTCCTAAAGGTCTTTTCCAAACTTAATGATTCTATGACTCTATCCTTTGAAAACTTTGAAAACTATTTTACTTTCAAACTCCCTTTGAATGTTTCAACAACTCCAAAGAAACAGTGAAACATTTCAGTTCATTACTGGAAGCCACTCAAGATAACTCACATATTTATTCACAAATATTTACAAGTCAAACTCATGCAATTATCTGCATTTTCAAAACCACGTGGAATGCTAGAAAACTGATTCTAAAATTATTTAAAAACAAAGAAATCAAAACTGATTTGCATTACTTAATATTTATTGATACAAAAGAAAATTCATAACAAACTATGTATTTACCATTTACACAGAAGAAAGATCTTTAAGATCAATGAAACAACATGCCCCTAAAACTGGGGTGTCCGATGAAAATGTTCCATGTTCTTTAGAACTCCTCTGCATTAGATGATCTTCAATTTGCAGGTAAAGTTATGGGGAAGAGGTGTCCATCAACATATTTCTTGCTCTTCCTCTAAATTATAAAAAAACCCAGAAATTAGTTCAAATTAATACAGTTAACCTACCTGCGCCATAATATTGGGGAGTTACAAGACAGTAAAGTGGAACAACTGCAAATTGTACTCACAGCAGCAAGGACATCACAACATTCACCTACTCCAGTGGCAAATCAATAAAAACATTAGTATTATTTCAATTATGCTCAAAAGAGCACATTAGCCTAATTTAATTTCACTAATAGTGGTTTCTGACAAATGTGTTCATCTGTGCAAAACCTGGAGCTGTCAAAGCCACACCTGGTTGTGGCACTGACACTTGCTCTCCAGGAATTCGCCTAAGCTATTTCAAATACAAATTATATCTTGTGAAGGAACAAGAGGCCTCAGTAGTTAATGTGCATGTAAGTTTCTTGTTATTTTTATAAAGATCTTGTGTGCATTTGAATTCCCTTTAACTTGGGTTCACACAAATGGTTCACAATCTCTGGTCCGCAGTTCCAAAGGTCACAAAAAGCCGCTGACAGTAGGGAAAATAACTATGAACTAAAATGCTTGCTGAGAGAATAATAACTGATGCAATTCCCCACATCAAGTGACAGCTGAGTACTGCTACTCCACATGTAGAGTTAGATGGCAAAAGCAGACACTTGATAGCCTGGACTATGCAAGATGCCAAATTTTCAACTGGTTTAAAGCCCATGCACAGAATAAAGAATGCTGTTAAGACCTGCAGGTGAAAATAATAAGCCACTATCCAAATACAGTAAAATGTTTTGGGGCATATGTGCAGAAAAGTGCTAGCTAATTCACCCAACCTGAGCAGTGGGCTTCTCATCAAACCAAGGTATGTGTCTGCCCTAGAGGGACTCCTTAGAGCAAAGACAGAAAGGCGAGGTTAAAGCTGACACTTGTGACTCTACTTAATGTGCCTGTTTTGTCGTTTAGTATGGAGAAAGGGATGGCAGTGGTTTGCCTTTTGGCAGTGGCTGCGGCTCAGGCACACCCCCACTCTGGTGGCAATACTGGTGTGACATGAAAGACTGGTCTTCACTTGAGGGGTACAGAAATAAGGGTCTTCCCAACAAAAGTGTGAGCTAAACTTATAGAAGAGCAGCTTCCACAGCACAGGTTCCAACTTCCTAACAAAAGCGTGAACTAAACTTATACAAGAGCAGGTTGCAACTTCACAGGATGTCTGAGGGCAGAGGGGACCTCTGGAAGTCATTTGATCCAACACTTCTGCTCAAGCATGACCACCAAGAGCTGGCTGTCCTGGATTCAGATAAGCACTTGCCACTCACACAAGCCTGTGTTTCCTGATCTCTTCTGTACCTCTTGACCTCTCTGCAGTAACCATAGCAAGAAGAATGAGGATGCCAAGTGTGCACACCAACACTGATGTGCTTTGCAAACACACACTCCCACCCACGGCACTAAGAATGGCAAAACAGAGATGATGGGATCTGAACTCTGTGGACAGAACTGTTCCACATGGAAGGCTCTGTCACATGTGCTTGGCCAGGTCTCAGCTCCATCTCCATGAGAAATGTATGAAGCTGATCCTGAGGGGCCACCCAACACATCTCTTTCAGTCTAGGCTCCTTAGATGCTGCAGAAACACTAAAAACCTGGAAGATTACTTTCTCCTGGAATTTACCAGAAAATCCAAGCAGCAAGTGGGTGTGAGAGGGCACATGAGAGATCCACACCCACACATGCAGCAGTGGGCACACCTCTGTGCCAAAACCAGCTGGTGCCAGGCGGCATTCCCACTGGCAAGAGGAATGAAGATGTAAGAGCAGGTGAATGCCTGGACTAGCCTGCCAACACAAAATCAGGGTATGGCATGGTGCCTAACTGATGGCAGACATACATCAAGATTGTGCCAAGGCAAAGGAAGTCACCAGCACGCTGAATTAGTGCTCTAAGAGGAGCAAACAGCACAATACTACAGTGCTCCAGGGTAAGTCTGGCCACGGGGAACGGTGCTAGGATGGATTCATACAGCACTGCAGAGCCAGCCTCAGCAGATGGATGAGGTTCAAGGGCAACCAAGTGGGCCTGAAGCAGTCTCAGTTCTGCTTCTGCAGCCAGGAAAACAGCAGATGATGACAATACAAACACCTTGCCAGTGACATCCTAAGCCAACCTTCTTGGGATTAAAACTACACAAAAGTCCTTCAAAGAACAGAGGCCAAAGAAAGCTTTGCATCACCTCTCTGAGGGTGAAATTGGAAGCTATGCCAGGCCCTGTACAAAACTTGCAGGAGAGGTAGCAAAGGAACCTTCAGGCACAAAACCACCTCTGAAATAATTCAAACACCTGGAACTGAGCTAAAAAATTATTCAATCTTTGCAAGTGGCAAAAAGACAGCAAAGAAAGCTTTGGTAAGGAAAATGCATCCAAATAGGGCAGAAAATTAGTTTAGGCAGCAAGACAAAAAATGAAGGAGCAGATTGAAACTTGATGAAACAGCTGAGCTGAAACAGCAGCAGGTGAATGCCTCATCCTGCAGCCTGTTCCAAGAGAAGGAAGAAAAAAAAAGGAGACAAAAGTGAACTTGGGGCAGATACTTCAAGAAGACAACTGCCAACTTGCTTATAAAGACACAGAACATCACAGTGGCATAGTGTTAACATGGAATTTAATGAAAAAAAGGAAATTATTATCAACATTTCAATATATACTTGAGGTGACCTCTCCACTGTAATTTCTGTAATAATTCAAGTTCCAGATATGAGGTGGGGAAAAAAGGGAACACTTATGCAAATCTATAGCCCATGCTAAATCAAATAAATTAAGAGAGGTTTTGTATTTCATTAGCATCACAGTTCAATGGAAACAAGCAAGAAGGAATGCAGGAAATCTGGGGCTTGCACCTCATCTAAATGCCTCAGCATCTCATCAGAGATTAGCTCTGCTAACTTAAAAAGTTCTTCAGAAGAAAATTTTAAATATTTTCAGTTAAAACAATACCAGTGTTGTAGGTTCCTCCTCTTTTTTTTCTAGCAAAACCCACAAATGCATCATGCAGCATGAGTGTGGGCTGACCCTGGCTGGATGCCAGGTGCCCATCAAAGCTGCTCTATCACTCTCCTCACTCAGCTGGACAGGCGAGAGGAAATACAGGGAAAGGCTCCTGGGTTGAGATGAGGACAGGGAGAGATCACTCACCCATGACTGTCACAGGCTGCAGGGGAATCTCAGCTCCAGTGCCTGGATCTCATCCCGGCTCCTTCTGCACTGACCTGGGTGTGGGCAGGGCTGTTCCTCTCACATAGCCTCACTCCTCTCTTCTCTGGCAATAATTACTTCTGCACAGTAACATTTTTTCATTCTTAAACGTTACCATGGAGTAGTTACCACCAGCTCTGGTGGCTCAGCCTTGGCCAGTGGCAGGTTGGCACTGGAGCAGTCTGGCATTGGCTCTGTCAGACACGGGGAAGCTGCTACTGGCTTCCCACAGAAGCCATCCCAGTAACCACCTCCCACCTCTATCAAAACCCAGCCATACAAACCCAATACAAGGTCATCAGCAGCAGCAGCCATTTCATGACAAGGTAATGATTCTGTGATTTTCAGTGGGGTGAGCAACTGAACAAAATGAAGCTATTCTAAATTCTGATAGTTCACTCAGTGTAATTTGTCTGAAAGGTTAAACAGGATGCTAACATGGACTTGGTATGCCACAAAATGAAGAGGGAAATAAAGCAAACATTTAGTTTGTCTTTAAAACACAGTGGGGCTTTTTCACTATCTAAAATACCGTTCAAGTCTGGGAGCTGAGTTCTAATTTATAGCTGTAGCAACCTCTCTGCTTTACCTGTGAATTACCTTAAAAGTGTGTAGTACAGCTTAGCTGCTCATCAGGCAAATGTCTGCTTCTACTAAGAAAATCAGCCATAATAAAAGGCAGACAGCATTTGCTAGATGCAAAAAGGCCTCTGCAATTATCACTTAATTGTCCTTCATGGGCCAGTACTGGGAGTCTCATACTTTCCCCTTAAGGTTGCTCCCTTCTTCAGCACTTTTCTTAACTGTCTACTTAATTAGTCTTCCTTCCTGGGCTTAATTGAGAATTTGTTTTGATTAATTAGCCTCAGAGCTCACTTGACACTAACTGAAATATAGGAGAAGTCCTCAGTTTCTTCAGTGAATAGGCTACTACATCCTAGGGGAGCCCCCTCTTTGTCAGCAATAAAATTTCAAGTCCAGATAGTGTTTGAAAAAAACTTTTTTGTAATTAACTTTCAATTCTTGTAATTACCCCCACTGTACTACAACACAAAAGTGTTGCTAACATAAAGAAAGGGTAAAATTCATTCAATTCAGGCCTCTTCTTAGGTGGATTATACATCATGCTCATTAGCTGAACCCTGTAGTTTTAGATGAGATAACATAATGTTCTCAAATGCAGGTGATCTGATCACTACTAGAATCCCAAACCAGGACCATGGGTTACCAGCAGAGACAGCTGTGTCCTTGTGGCCCCAACACCAGAAAACCTTTCCCTTATCAATATTTTCAAAGTTATTGAGCTTCACTGAAAATACCTTGCATAACCTAGAACAGTAAGTCTGTAACACCTCTGAGCACTAACATAGAGCTCTTCATGATGTTCACACCTCTCCTATCACTCCCTTCCCCTCCCTCTTTACAGCACGTTGAGTCCAGAAGACACCCTCACAACATTACCATGCATCTGCCATCTTGGTCAATTCTCATTTCAGATAGATACTGAAAACACAGGAAAAGGCATCTTTAAACACCATCACAGTGAAAAAATTTAATAAGCTAAATGAAACAATATGTGTTAACAGCTATCATACCCATTTAATAAACTTATTCTAGATATTAATATTTATTTCTGTGAACATTTTTAGACTTGCATCTCACAATCGAGCTGACAAAGTAAACACTTTGTTTCTTCCAGCTCCTTGTTTCAATCACTGTTGCTCTTGTGCTCCAAACAGGACTGCAGGAGTGCAAAGTACCTGTGGTTTTACAACCATTTGTGTTGTACCTTTACTGGGGCACAGAAGCTCAAATGAAGCAGATCAGAACAGGAGCTTTATGAGTGGGCTTAAAAACACTAAGCAGCTCTGCAGACAAACCTTTTAACATATTTGTTTCCTAATGATCTGCAGCCCACTGTTCTGACTGATAATCAACCATGTTTTCATCTTAGAACTGGACCATAGGACTCACTTTGGTTGTCAAATCCTAACTGAAGCTCATCCATGCAACCCAAAAGGTTTGCCTTTGAGATCTCTTCTGATTGTATTTGTGAAGTGACAGGATTCTGCCAAGGAAATGTACCAGCTTGGAAGAACTAAGATATTCAGTTACAACAGCTGTCAATAGCATTAAAGAGGCATGGCCCATGCTCTTCAGTTAGATGTATCACCTGCAATCAATCACCACTTAAAGTAAATCCTGTATTACAAAAGACATCTTGCAGAGTCTATACAGCAGTAGAAATACAAGAAATATTCCTTCATGCTGAAATGCCTTTTCAACTGTTATGAAATGAGGAAATAGCTCTTTAGGTTTATTGCATTCCCCAAATGTTAATTTAAAATCATCTGCAGATAACCAATTTAGTTGTGCACTTGCAAAATAGAAGATGCTGTACATGTGCCTCAACAGTTTGTTTTATTGGTCCTGTTTATTTTGTCTGTAATTACTCAGCTCACAATCTCCTATTTTAGATTTACAGAGCTGTACAAATATGGATGTGCATACACATCTGACTGTTCTGCAATCACTCTTCTGTTAATTTAAACTTCAAAAAGCTTTGTTTAAAAAACAGGAACAGCTTTCCAACCAAATAAAACTACAAAAAGATAGATTTGCAAAAGAACCTACTAACCTGTAATTTTTTTGAAGGGAGCCACAGCCTTCAAAGCTGTGGCTTTTTATTGTGGCATGACTTCTCAGTTAAGCCTCTTAAAAGAAGCCCCTAGATGTTACCATAGTACCTGCTATAGAATACATGAACCTATTAACATAAAGGTGAAATAAGTGACTTGGCTTTTGTTTCCAGCTCTCTCAATTACTGCTGATAGAAAGCAATGACTTCAAATACCGAAAAACAGGGATACCCACTAAGATATCAGCATGTATCCTCCAGGAACAGTAAGTGTATCTCACATTTTGTCTTCTTCAAGACAAAGATCCCAACTTCACTCCACAACAGGTAACACTGGTTAACCAACTTCAGTCTAGCTCCACAAACACCTGGCTAAACCACAGTAGCCAGTGGAAGTGAAATTACTCAGCAGAGCAGAAAACAGGCTGCCAAAAAGAATCACATGTTTGCAGGAAGAACACTAACTTGTCACATTTCAGAAAAGGCTTATTTCTTTGCAATATCCTATTTGGCCTGCTGTACACAAAAATGTAGGAAGCAGGAACCAAAACAAGACCAGGCAGAGGTGAAACATCAGCTGCGGCTTCTGACTAGCAACTGATTATTGATTGACACACTGCAGAACTCAGCAGCCATAGGAGTCCTGGCACTCAGAAGATTCTCCTGCACCTCCTCACACTATATTTAGGCTAATGACACAGCAGCAAATTTCTAACAAGTGCCAAGTTGAAGAAAAAAATTTGAAATGCAATCCAGACCAACAGTGAACAATCCAGGTCCTGCTGTGTACTAATGTTTTCAAGAACAATTTTGTGCAAGTGGCTGCAACAAGTACAACATCCATGTAACTGAATGAACTTAGCAACCTTCAGTAGTTAAGTCCTACTGTGAATGGCAACTGATTTACATCTCCTTGCAAGAGAATTCAACTAAATTTATCTCCACCTCTAACATACTGATCTTCCTGCCTTTCAAAAACCAGACCCTAATGAGTGCAGAGGCCAGCAAAGGACTAAGAGCTGTGCTTGAAGCCCCATCTACTGACAAATAAGAGAACTGTTGCTAAACCAGAGCAGTATTCCACAGAACATACTTTAACAAACCTGATATTGCTTCTTAAAAAAAGCAAATCACAAACATATTCAGACGTAGTCCAGCTGCAAAATGTTCTCTGCAAACTACACAGGACATGCCTTTCAAGAAACCAACCAGTCAGAGAGCAACAAAGCCATCCAGCCTAAAAAGTGACATACTTTACCAAATCTGCTCTGTTCTCCTTGACACTCTCGGCCATAGAATAAGAAAAACACAAACAGGCATGCCGACCTGAAACCTGCATTTGAACATCTGCACTTTCCAGCCTGTGTCAGGAAAAGGTCTGCACACATTAAATCTGCCTTAGAAAGCATCCTGAAGAACTATTTCTCTTGACTCAAAAGAAAACCTCCTCACAATCTTGCTGCCAAGTTGCAGGGGGCAAAGACACATCTGTGCCTGACATGACCTTGTCATCACTTCTCATCCCAGCTCACCAAATGAAAACACATCCCTGGCAAGCGACAGCCCCGTAAGTCCATACACATAAGTTACCTACACTAACCCCTTAAGTATCCATCCTTCTGCTACCCAATCTGCAGACAGGTAACACAGAAAAGGGCATTTTTGTTCAGAACTCCCTGGCTATTAACACAACTGAAAAGTTTTCTTGTTCTCATTTTTAACTGGAACTAATTTGCTGCTGGGATCAGAGACCATCACATCCATGGCCTGACTGCTGGGAGACCTGCTTGGGTTAGAAGCAGAGTCTTAGGTTTAATCCTAGCCCTGTACTTTTTCCAAGTGGCAAAGTTCCAGATCTCTGTAGGCCTGAGGAGCTGAAAGACTTAAAAACTAAATGTTTTAGTGGGTGGGATCCCCTCAAGCAGTGAGACAGCATGTGTGCCCATCTGGTAGCTGGTATGGCTCCAGCACAAGATTTGAATCTTGCTGACCTTGAAGAGACCAACCCAAGCCCAAAATTTAGAAAAGCTGCCAACATCAAATTTATACCTAGTGACTAAATGACTTTTTAACTCAAACTGCTTACAAAATTTGAGGCTGGGAAAAAAAAAGACTTTCTGTGTAGTCTGAACTCTGAGAGTAAATAGTTTGTTTCAAGACAGAACTAAATAGCAATATGCATGCTCCTGTTTAATCTTCTCAGAGCTACATGTGACTTAGCAGTGAATGAAAAGATAGCACACAACTTCTACCAAGTATTTCCACTGTCAGTCTACATATGCACTAACCATAGGAACTACTGCTTGAAAGAGTTAGCTTGAAAGTATTAGCTCAAATTCCCCAATCCAAAGGATCTTTCACAGAGGCATGGTAATCTTGGTGTCCAAGACCTTTCACAGACACAGGAAATTAGCTGAGAGCTGAAAGCCAATTCCTCTTTCCTACTTTAATGTATACTCTAGATTTAGCATAAAGATCATGGCCAAGACTGGTTACAAGGTTAGTGCTCAATCCTTAAGTCCTTAAGAGTTCACGATTCCAATTCAATTTTCCTTATCTCCTTCTCTTCAAGGATAGCAATGACCAGAGATAGAAAGCAGCATATGAGAAGAGCTGTAGTTTATCCTTATCTTCAGCCAGAAGGAACCTCGAAGAGCTTGGGAGACAAATGCTATGTATACCATCTGCTGTCTAGACTTGGCTTCTGGAGTATACAGTATAATTACAGCTTTCCCAATGGTCCTCATTATTATCCAGGAACACAGCAAGCAAATCAAAAGGAGATATTAAAGTAATACATTTGGCAATGACCTATCACTGTTACACAAAATAAAGCTATCAACAATGTTCAGAGCTAATCAAGCCATAGCTTCCACGCAAAAGACACAACTGATAAGCTCCTTCTTAAGAGCTCCTATTTTCCTATTCAGATTGGAGGCACTAATCATCCAGCTGCCAGACAAGGAAGGGTTGCCTGTCGTTAACATATTAGAAGGCAGCTGGACCCCAGCACAGCAGCCTTGCAGCAGCCCATCTCCTAGACAACAATTACTGAAATACAAACAGCAGGTTTGTCATTTAAACAGAGATTATTCTAAGCAGGTTGTACCAGGCAGTCGTTAAGACTATCTATCAGATGTTAGCTGAGGATGCCAACGTTTTTTCAAGTGCTAAGCATCTTTAGGGAGATTAAGCATATTGATACAATTTGGAACAACAAATACACCCACACATTTCCTACTTTTATCTTTTTGTCACTGGATGGCACAAGAACAGTAACTGATGCAGAGCAAGGCCCTTCGGTATGTCATTTCACTTTGACAGCAAACTACCAACATTCTTCGGGTTTTTTTCCCTCAACTCTTCTTATCTTGATTTCAGCTGCTCTCTATTCATTTGTAATGGTAGGGTGGGCCCGCTCAAACATTTTTGTACGTAAAAAATACTTCAGAACATACAAAAATTTGACAAGTGTTTAAGCAAACTTCTTTGCAGAAAGTTCTTCACCTGTCTTTGAGTTGTGTGAAGAGAAGAACACTTTCTTCATTCAGAAGATTTCGTATGTTATATCCATTTCCTACAAAGAAAAACAGAGTAAGTTTTCCTTAGGATCCACTGGCAATTTTTTAAGTCCTCTCCTGTCAGCGAAGTGTAATTCCATTTAATATATTTTAACAGAAGGAATATTAGCTCTAAATCTAGGATGCCACTCTTACTGGCAGGTCAGTGCATTTCAAAGAGACGACAAGGAATACACCTAATGTCATTTACTTTCATCTGTGCTTAGAAGATTTTTACTGAGAAGAATGTAACAGGCATGAGTTCTCAGCTCTCAAAACCCACAATAAAACTTTAAGGTGACTGAATTTACTTCAATTTATTCCTATGGAAACTATCAAGAAAAACTGCACATGGAAACTTATCTGCAGATCTTCACTTGAGTTTTGCACACTAACATGACCACAAAACAGAATTATCTAACAGGCCCTCAACACTGGGAATGAACAACATCCTTACATTCATATACAGCCACACAGTGAATTACAGGGATCACCTGCCACAAACACTGCATTGCCCATCCAGCCATACTGAGAGCAGCCATCAGGAAGCAGGGAAGAATGAAGTATATATAGATCCTTATGGTCATACAAAACTTCCAGCATTTTATATAATCTGCTTTCCCAAAAACCAAATGACAAAATTGTCTCTGCAGACCCACTAGACTTTTAAGATTGTAACACCAAAAAACAGCTTCAAAGCATCAAGCATTAACTAAGTAACGACTGTTCAGCCAGGACACTGTGCTGAAAAGTTAACAGGGAAAAAATGGGCTAATTCCTCACTTTCTAAAGATAAGCCTCTTCACAAGAAAGCTGTACAAAAGCTCTCTACAGCTTCATGTACAGCCTGCTTTAACACTACTTCGACTCTCCAGACTAGTGTCTTAACCCACTGATGAACAGCCTCCCATATGGAATTCATGCCACTTTTATATCAGAAGGACAAAATCAGGTCTTTAAATTCTCAAGAAAACATATGAAGTTACAACCTAGTCAACAAGATAGCTGAACCTTCTATATATGAGCACAAAGCACAAAATATGGTCAACTGATCCAAATGGATTTTCATAATTTTACAGAGGAAAAAAGCAGCAAGCATATGGTAACAGAAACAATTATATTAATTACTAGTAACATTAAGCTGTCTGTGATGTTTCCTCAACACTACAGCTAGTGACAGAACCAAAAAACCAAGAGAAATTTACTCTTAGAACTTGGTAGTGTCATCAAAACTTTGAGGCCAACTCACATAAACAAGAGGTATGTGTATCCCCGCATTCAACCATTAGATCTTCAACCCATGTCCAGTGTTGTATCACATTCCATTCTTCCTCACCCCATACTGTCCCATTGTCTATTCAGTCATTCTGTTTGGATTTGATTCCTAGCATGCTGATTTAGGCTCCTGCACCTTCCAACACACACACACACTCACCTGCTGGAACATAGAAGCAGTCCCCTGCAGTCAGGTAATACGATGTGTTATGTAATGTCACAATAACTTTGCCATGGATAATATGGAAAGCCTTAATGGAAGCCAAAGGGTTCTAAGGTTAGCACCATTTAAGGAAGATATCCAAGAAAACACTTGCACACACATAACAAAGATAAAAACCCAAATCAGCCAGCAGAGCTGCAATCTCTTTTCCCCATAATGATGAAAAATAAGATGTTCAAAAGGGGGATGGGGTCCAGTTTTATTTTTCTGATATTTCTATCTTGTCTGCAAGACTTACAAAGTAGGAGCAGATGGACATACAGATTTAATACAAAGCAAAGCAGGGCAATATGCATGCAAAGAACCTTCAGTAAGCAATTCATTAATGTTCATTTGTTTTGGGGGGCGGGGCAGACCTCTCAACTTCATATATTATTTCCAACCACTCCAACAGATCTTCTGTTTACAGAGTCCATTTCATAAAAACTTTTAAAAAGCACACTTACTATTGTATCCATGTCGACAAACTGGTGCCCCTTTTCTTTATATGGTTTCAGAATCAATCTACCAGTTGCAAAAAGAGACGTATTCAAATTTTTGTGTATTTCTACTGCTTCATCTTTGAAGAAGTACGTTTGACTGTCTGCAGTGTTTATACAATCTACAAAAAATGTCAAGGAGATTAGCATTAATGCTACCACACAATTAGTCTTGTTACAAGCTCAGTGCAATAGATATTGTTTCAGTGCAACACCTCCAAAAGCCAGACTCAACATTTAGCTGAAAAATTATGACACTTCTTATGTCTCCCTCAGAACTTTCTCCAGAAGAGAAATGAGTATTTCAGATCCTCACCTTTTTATGCACAATGTGGCATGAACATTTTTTTTTCTCATAAGTCTACATAATTCAGGAAGTCCCTTGGTCCCAGCCATCAACTCACCTAGATGCACTTCATTATTTGTTACTGGGTCCAGTACAATGACTGGCTTCGATGCATCAGCTAAGCTGTGGTCCAAACTTGCAGGTATCTCTCCTCTATCTGAGGATACTAAGAAACCAAAACAAGACCAAAAAAGTAATCAATATAGATTTCAAGAAGTTAATAATTTAACCACAACTTTTCCACAATTCCAATGTCACACATTAAGTAACGAAATTTTCTTTAATAACTGACTAAACAGAAGGAACACTCTTCCTTCAAATAAAGAAAACCATCCATAACAATTCTTTGAAAATATCTTTTTCATTGAAATAATTTCTGTGTGTTATAGATGAAACTCTCTAAATCCTAAGGAATTTCCTGGGGAAATTCCAACTATTTATCCTATGCTATTAACAATAGTATTTATTCAAAACTAAACTGTATGTTTTGAGAGATGTGTTTTTCTAGCAACAGATGCTGAGAGAATATGAAATACATGATGAAGAGTGAAGAACAGGTGGTTTTGCTCAACGTATTGATAGGCATCAGGGGACTTAAGAGAGAAAGCATTCAAAGATAAGCACATGTCCAATTTTCCTTTTGTCAAGAAATAACACTAAGGAATCTCACTCTAAGTTGTAAATCTGAGAACTATTGCTATAATAAAAAGGACTTTTCCAGAGAAAGAAATATCCTAAGAATTGATGACAACACTATGCTTCTCAAACAGAAAAGAGATGCTTTAGAATGTTCACGGCAGAATAAATATCCCAAAGCTCTCTTGCAGAATTCTCTTAAGCAGACAATTTTAGCTCTACAGTGCACAGGAAATTTCTTTAAACACAGACAGAAGAAGCATGCTAAAGGCAAGCTATAGCACTTTGTAGGCACTCATGGCAGCTTAAATACTCTTACAGTAAGACTATCAGGGGGAGGAAGAAAGTTACTATGTTTGAACAGCTTTGTTCCAACATAACCATTTCTCTATAAAAAGAAGCAGCAACAGGTACAACGCTATAGCTATAAAAACAGTATTTTTATTGTATCAATAACATTTAAGAATTTGTGCTAGAAATTCTACTTGGCTGACAGGCCTTACATGCATCACTAAGACCCAAGGATGTAAGTGAAAGACTATCTCTGAGGATGAATGTCTGCCACAGAGGAAATCAATCACTTCTGGAAGACAGTTCAAAGGCACTTCAAGCAGCCAATAGTTCTTGTAAGATACAATATGAACAGTCACTACCAGCTCAGGATCTCATGGGCTGCAAGTGATTTATATTACAATATAAACTGTACTTAGACCAAATATTGATCTATACCAGGGTCCTGTCTCCCATCAGTGGCCCAAAGCAGGTACTCCTTCCATTCCTCAAAATGCTGTAATAATATACTCAATATAATATATTCAATTGAATACTTTCCACCTCTAACCTGGAGTTCCCATACTTTATTTAGAGCTATTAACTCTCCGGTTAATGTATCTGGTTCTTGCCTTGAAACTACATAAATACTTTTATGCATAATATTCTGGGCAGGAAGCACACAGTGAGAATGGCCACCTTATTTTGCTGAATAACCCAGCTCTCACTGTCTTCCCTCTATACCTTCTATTCTTGTGTTTAAAAAAACAAGCAGAAAACCCCAACAAGACCATTTACTTCTATTTCCCTTCTCTATGTCACTCACGATTTCAGAGGTGTTTTAGACCTGTTCCTTAGAGGCCTCCATAGTACTCTCTTCAGGCTTGAGGAGAATTCACCTCAGGAAGTTGATGAGCTTTCTCTAAGCCTTCTCTAGTCATACCACTTTCTTTTTGAGGTAAGGAATAAAACTTACATGAAACACATGTAAAATCAGAAATTGGTACCAACAGTGATTGTTTTCTTCCTTATTTCTCTGATGATTATGTCAGTCCTGATTAGTTTAGTACTAGATCCATATGGCATTTTCCATGTTTGTTAGCACTTGTTTTAATGGTTCTATAACTTCAAAGAGAAATGTTTCAGCTTCAAACAAAAGCTCTAGACAGTCCCCATAAAGAAAGGCTCTATAGCATTACAACATTTTCCAGAGAGCACAGCAAAAATAATCTGGCTTTTGGACTTTGACTCTCTTTTTTGAGCACTACTTACATGTTTATTATATACTGGCTAGAGAGTCTAGGTTTGCTTAAACATTGCTTTATTGCCCACTTTTAACCATTTTATGCACTGTTCTTAAAGCTCTCTTCACCTATTGTGTTGTGGTTTTGTATTTAAACTACAATAGCTTGAAGCCCTACTAACACTCTCTGCTGCATTTTTAGATGTATTACAGGCTTCAGCAAAATGGCTACAAGTTTTTATACCTTAACCATGCACACTAGCATCATGATCTGAACACAAAATGAGGACAGTTTAGTCTCTTCAGCCCCTGCTTTAAAGGCACAACAGCATTTCTGGGTATGTCTAGCATTTCTTCCTTTCTTACGCTGAAAAGTGAACAATTTTACTACAACAATGTATAGCTTTGCTATAGATCCAGTTGGAGCAGGTTTTTCCTTATCAGATCACATTAATAAATTATGGTATAAAGAGAGAGAGAACTGAGTGATTACGGGAGAAAAATCTTAGAGCAGTAGAGCATTTGATTAAAGAGACTTTTTAAAGTATCCAAAGGAAAAAAGTCTTTGTTCCTACCTGTTTTACCTGTTTTCTGCTTGGGACAATCCTTCCTCCTTTTACTCTTCCTGGGAGATTCTGTTTCTGGATGCACGAGTCCACTAATCACAAGTCCTCCTGAAACAAAAGGAAGTTAAACAAAGTCCACTAACTCATAATAAATTTAAAAGAATGCAAACTTGCACAACCAATCAGCATTTCAATTGAGAATAGACTTCCTTGATGCTGAACTTTTCAGATCACTTTAGAAAGCCAGAACAAAAAAAACTTTTTAACATTAAGTACTTTGGAGTGCAATGCAACTTGAGACATTTTGAAAATTATTTTATCAAATTTCAGTCAAAGAACATTTGAGAAAGCCATGACATGTAAATAATTTTTAAGATAAAATATCACTTTTACAGACACAAAAAAATACTATTTTGAGTGAACTAATTAACTAAACTAGGCTGAATTGTCAGCAAAAAAATTACTGAGAACAAGATATATTTTCTCACTTAGGGTATTTAACACTGAGACTATAAAATGTTATGGTATCTGCTCTCTAAAACAATCTTTACACAAAAAGAAATGCTCCAATGAGTGATCCAGTAGATTGTCTCTTTTTCCAGTATCACACACAATCTCTGACATAAAAAACCCACTAGTACAGAGAAACTCTTCTGTTCTTCCCTCAACAGAGAAGGCAAAAGTACTTAACATGCTCCACTGATATTATTTTCAGCTGACACAGGAGTATCAGAAGAGAAGAAAACTACATGGAGAGATGACTAAGTAACTGGAGACCACAAATAATCATTTTTAAAAAGTTACCCAATAGTAAGTATCTCAAGGCTTGCACAGCACAAGATCAACTCAGATTTTTCTATTCTGCTTTGTCAGAAGGGAGCAATATTGGTATTTTGGAACTAATACCTGAAGGCTTCATAGTATAGTTTACACGCTCGCCTCTCCAGTATTCCAGAGGTCTCAGCCGTATCCTTTTTGTCCGACGAACATTAGGAGTGTTGGAAGGCATTACTGATTTCAAGGATGAAGTCATTAAGTATGAAAGGAAAATTCAGAGACAGAAAATATTAAGTATTATTTCCTCTTGTTCTGTACCACAAGCGGGTGAGCCCTTCCCAGCTGATATTTTATCACATTGCTATCATGACAAGAAAATAGGATTCAAGTATTACCAAATGCCTTCTTTTGCATAAATCAGTATTTCACCCTCCTTTTTCTTACACAACCACCACCCTGACTTGACATTAGATTTCATTCTCTATATGTTAGTGAAACACTGATACACAGACATTAGGAGCTCAAGCTCAAGGACAGCAAACATGCTACATCTGTGAAGACAAATTTCTTGATAAAGACTAAGAATCCTGCCTGAATCTGGGGGATTTCATTAGCAACCATGAAAAGGCACTGCCTCAGTTATGGGAAGGGGAGGGTAACAGAGACTGTCTAAGTACATCCTTCTCTTCCAGATTCAGAAGTCCTGTTTCCAGGGTCCAGAAGAGCAGCACTTTTGCAAAAAGAAACCACACATTTCCAGGATTTGTCAGATATTTATCTTCACATGTACTAATCACATAGTCTCAACTTTGAAGTTGTGTAAGCTGCCATATATGAATACACCATGATATTTTAGTGTTTGTAAGAAGAGTAAAAGCCCCTTAATATCTCAAAGCAAATTAATCAAGAATATTTAAATGTTAAAAATGGTAAATATGAAACAGTTGCTGAAACAGTTTTTGAAGGTAGACAACTCAAGTGTTGTGCATAAAATAATAATGAAGCCAATAAAAAACACCCACAATGTAAACAGACAAGCAAGGGACTACAACTGACTGCATGACCATTGTTCCATCCTATCCAGACTCAGACCACCACAGAAGGCAGGTTATTTGCACCCTCAGTTTTACTGCATAAAACCAATTCAAACTCTTACTGTTCTCACTGTACAGTAAGAGTTTGTCCTGACTCAGTTTTTTAGGAATATATTCAGTGCACACAGCTGGGTGTGGAGCTGCAGTGCCAGCCAGAGACTGAGCTCTGCAGGAGAGCCTCAGGCAAGAGGTCATGAGCTGATGCTGCCCCTTTGAACCACAATGGGCACAGGGACCTGTGGCCCAGCCCAGTGACCGGACACTCAGGCACACAGCAGGAGCTGAGGACTCAGCTGGAAGGACCAGCAGCTCCCCGGACTGTCGAGCACACAATGTGGGGGTATTAAAGCCCAGACAGTCCTTGGTTCCAGTTTAAGCTGTTATTCTGTTGCTACACCATAAAATTACTTAAAGGAACCAGAGGTCTGAGACTCTGCTATGAGAAACTCAGAGGCAAGCCAGGAAGGAAATCTGGCTGTGTACAGAGTCAAATGGGGCACCTGTCAGGGCACTGGAGCCACCCACTGTAAAGGGGTTTCAGTCCCAGGACTTTCAGTCTGTGGTGGTGGGAGTGTGACTGCCAGAGTGGCTCCTGGATGGTCAGATCTGAAAGTTTCCTTAACACAATACCATGAAAAACCAAAGTGTGGCAGTTAAAAAGATAACTGTTGAATGGAGCAACAAAAAGAGAAACACTAGAAGTTTTAAAAAATAACTTTCAAATAAGGGGAAGGGCTGAAGGTCTGAAGAAATAACAAACCCCATCTGTAAATACTTATGAACAGATGAACCCATTTCTAGGTGTTTGTCTGTGTCTCCTTCAGTAACATTTAAATTAAGTTGAAAATGCACTTGCATTTACACACTTACATTATATTTTAAAATACTCTTACCTATTTTATGCTTTGCTATTTCGTCTGACAACAGATGTCTTAATTTGTAATTCAAGTCTTCAGAATTATCTGAAAACACATTCAAAAACCCCATCACCAAAGGCACTTATTATTCCTGACTTTTATTCAATATGCCAACTAGAAGAGGCCAAAAGTAACACAAATGGAAGTCCCAAGGATAGTGCTTCCACCAACACCTTTTGCTATAAACATATATTAAATCCAGTGTAGATAATCTGTAATTAGTTTTAAACAGAGTAAACTTAAAAATTACTTGAAAACCATACATTCAAGTAAATACTCCTCAGACCTATCCCTCTTGATAAAGTGAACACTGACAAATCATAAACTATACACATAATTTTATTGATCAAAATGCAAGGTCATTTGGATTTATATCACTGAAACCTAACTTCAGAACAAATTTTTTACCAGCACACACACAAAAGTAGGTATCTGAAAAAAGCATTGCATGGACTAATGACATCCACATCTGGCTCTGAAGCACTAAGGAAAAGACTTTGTATCTCTAGGGCTCATGTTCATTACGACAACATGTGGAACTTGTGCAGTGAAATTTAAAACTGAAACCAAACAAATAATAATAACCCTGTCCACACAAAAACCCCCAAACACAAAACCAAACCAAACAACTAACAAAAAAACAAAACAAAAAAAACCTAACACAACAAAGCAAACAAAAAAACCCCCAGAAACAAAAAACCAAACAAAACAAACAACCCCTCCCCCAAAAAAACACCCAAGTATTCTTTGGGGAACAGGCCATGACTTCATCAATGCTGTAATTTGGCTCAGATTTACTTGAAGTGACTGCATACAGGACCATTACATGGGAACACATCAAACTGGTACAAACTGATCCTGAAAATTTTGTTCTAAGTATTTTAGAAAGAATAACTTTATCCTGGTATGCATGATGCCAAAACATGGAGGGTTATGTTCTCCCAAAGCTAACCAGATAAAGCTGGCATGCTGTACCACACACTTGGATAGAAATGTAACCACAGCCAATAAAATCTGCATTTCTTCTTCTGGACAAGCTGAATACAACAGAAAGTACTGAACTGTCAGTCACAGTTTATAAGAAGCTTATACATAAAATGCAAAGAATTATAAAGTTCAAACATTACCTGAAGATATATCATCCTGCTCAGGAGACTTCGTGCTGGAAGTAAGTCCATCTTCTAGAACAGGCCCACTGCAAAGGAAAAAAAATACACCTGCTTGAACATGTCAAAGGAACATTACAGCACTACCAAGAAAAGCAAATTCAAGTTTTCTTCAGATCATGTGGGCTGGGTTCTATTTTGCTTTTAAACAAGTCTATACCAATTACACACTGAAGCAAATGACTACTCCTTAAAAATCACAGGTCAGAAGTTCATGAACTACTCCCCTACTCAGTCATCAGGCAGACAATTAGTGTTCACACCTCCTCTCTAAAGAGGTTTCCTAAACTTTTTTTCTCCATTCCAGAACAGACCTTCTCGCCACCTTTGTAGCATTACCTTAACAATTTTCCATATACCATAATTATAAAAGATAATTTATAATTAAAAGAGCTTTAAAGAGTTGTTTTGCATACTCTAAGGAAAGGACAGGAAAATAAAATGTAGCCTGTCATAAAATCCTCCCCATAAAATGGCAACAATTTACACATATAACTCCAACAGAGATTCTCTAGCAATCAAGCCACTTGTCACAGAACTTCTACAGCCTTAGAATCAGCACCCTTGACCCTCATTCTCCCATCTGAGGCTGTGCTTCACTGCTTTTACTGTGCCAATGAAGTTCAGCTGTTATCCACCTCAACTCCAAAAGGTGCATTTCAATTACCTAGGTTAGCAAATCTACACTGCAAATTTGTCCAAGTCGGTCTGCAGTAAGTTCCCCTTAGAAATAAAGTCCCAAACATTTTCAGTACAATGACTGCATAAGGATTTAATAAATTCACAGACTGCCACTCCTGTTTGCTTCGTTATTAAGTTTCCATCTCATGAAAGGGGAAGATACATGCCTATGTACATGCACAAAGAGTTTGGATTGTAGATTGAGCTCTATACCCTGACATCAATTTTATTAGTGCAGCTATCATTAGTTCTAGGAGCACTGATCTTTCTGTTCAAAAATTACACACTGATGTGGAAGCAAGCCTCAAAGGAAAGAAATCCCCAAAGGCAATAAGCTTATTATGACCCCCTATTCATGAGAGGAAGAAAAATTGTATTACTTTATTAACTGTATTAGCACAGTATTTAAAGCCCTCAAGCAGGAATCACACTGCTGTTCTACTTGGTGTTTCATCAGTAGGGCACAGAACACAGCAGCTGTACCAGCTGCCCACTCTCAGGGCGTCTCCTTGGGGCAGAAGTAGGATTAAAGTAACATTTTTCAGACAACTCAGGAAATTACCTTTGGCAACTCACAACCTTCCCAGCTACAAAGGAATCCCTAGAAAAGAAAACACTCTTATTATATTTGGTGTTAAATAAACTGAATGAAAGGAACCTGTAGGTCAATAATTTTATGTCCTGAACAAAACTATAAAGAAGACATTAAAAAAAATTAAAAAGCAATGCAAAGATCAGTGATTATCAACCAGGTTTTAAACCACTTGAACTTAGTCTTTAGATTGACAAAAATAAATATAGCTGAAGAATTAAATGCTGTATTTTCTAAATTTATCTTTAAAAAGGAACCAACTTGACAGTGAAGTTATTCCATGGGTGGTGGGGTTGTGTTAAACTAGATCTGCTCTGCAAGTCTCACAAGAAAACTAGAACAATTTTCCTCATGTAGGAGACACTAAGTATGGCACTGAGCTTTGAGAAAAGAATGTTGATTAAACTGCTTGGTTTCTCCATTAACTATTCAACCAGCCTCAAACTACCATGTACTTGAACTGGGCCACCACTGCTTAGAAGTTGACAAGATGTATTTAATTATCAACATAGTTGCATACTACACTTGTAAAGAATCACACAAAAAGCTTACTGTGGTCCATGCTGTCTGTTATGTTTTCTTTTGTTACTTTTTATTTTCACATCTGGTAACTTCTGTTTTTTCCTTGCGGTGTCCTGTACAGAAGAGCTGTCAGAATCTGTTTGAGACTCAGAGCCTTCAGAGCTTGAGTGAAGAGCTTTATTGGTTCTACGTGGAATCTTTTTGGGTATCTTCCCTGAAGACTTGGCAGACCATTTCTTTCCAGGATTCTTCACACTCTCCACAGGATGCTGGAGTGCTTTTAGAGGAGTTCTGCTATTGGCATCACCAGGTGACTCTGGTGTGTGTAATGCTTTTCTGGGTTTCTTGGGCTTAGTCAACTTCTGAATCACAGGAGTCTCTAATTTCTGATGCAAAGATGTGGCGCACACTTCATTCAGTTCTACAGGCTCTCTTTCAAGCTCTTCTTCACCAGGTCCACTGTCAGAACTCTCCTCTCTTTGTAACTGAGGCTTTTTATTACTACTTTTCTGGACAGATATTTTAAGCTTTTTCCTTGGAGTTACTGTCCCTCTCTTAGCTACTTTGACTTTTGGAAGTTTCTCCTTAGCAGTTTGTTTCTTCTTAACTAAATGCTGAGAAGCTTTAGAAGCCAACTGCAGATTCTTGGAAGACTTGAGAGACTTTTTCAGTGACACAGTCTGGTCTTTCTGAGGCCCAGATGAAGGCATAGGTAAATCCTCACTTGGCATACTTATTTTACACTGCTCTTCATCAGATGGTTCTGTTTCCAATCCAGGCCACACCGGTTCTCCAGCTTCTGGTTTCCAGGATGTGTTCTTTTTCTGGTTTGGAGAGTCTTGTCTAAATGCATCCTTTTTAGTCTTTCCTGTCAATACACAAAATATTTGGACATGAATACATTTTCCCATTAAACCTGAAGATATATGTTAACATTTGAATGCATAAAAAAACCCCAAAGAATAAAAATGGGGGGAAAAAAAAAAAGGTATCACAAAACCAGTTTTATCACCACTGGCCAGAAGAAGGCTTTCCCTAAACTATAGTCTACAAAAAACTTTTCGGTGTACTTCCAGTATTTCCTAATTAAAAAAAGGGGGCAGAAATGTTACATTCAGTCTGCTTTCCAGTTTTCAGTGTTTTTCATGCTACAAAACTCTTCACAAATAATTCCTAAAACTCAATCCCCTTTTTGTCTAAATATAACTGCCTTTCTATGGCAAGAGGAACAAAAGCTTATTGGGCACCTACTTTCTATGACTCTTCATACAAAAAGGCAACACTGCTAATTTAATTGTTAATGTTCTAACAGGAAAGGCAAAGGATGTGGCAAAAAAGTGAAGACACTGTCTCACTGCCTCTCTGTCTCACCCAAATCTAACTGCACAACTGAAACACCAAAAAAGAAATCTATTGATGTTTATCCTCTACTTCATTATAATTTTCTCATAAACCACCAGAAAATAACCCAGTAATGTGACCTGCAAGGTCAAGTCTGAAGAGCTGTTAAATAACCTACCCACACAAGTACTCTTTCGGCTTTGAGATGTAAGGACATTTTCTTCGCTATTAGGGATTGGATCTGACACTGACGTTTCTTTGATGGAGTCAAAAGCTCCAACATCTGGATGATCCAGTTTCTGTTTAGTAAGTGCTTTACCCTGTACTTTCTTGTTCTTGACTTTCTTATTCTGTGTCTTCTCCTTTTCAGAGGGCTGAGGTTTAGAAATGGGAGCTGCAGAGCCATCATTTTTTGATTTTTTCTTCTTAGTGGGTATCGAAATCCAAGAAGTAAAAGATGCACCACCTGATTCATCAATTAAAAATTCACATTCATTTTCTATTTCTATTTCTTGATATTTCACAGGACGAGGTGATGGTGGTGATATGGAGGTTGAATATCTAAAGAATGGAGGGGAAAAACATTCATATCAATCAGGGTGGGGGGGAAATTGACTTTCAGTCTTCCAAGTCTAGTGGTAACTCCCCACACCTAGACACTGTACAGAATGTTCCTCAAAAGAATTATTATAAAGTTCATCCATCATATGTTCCATATTAAGCCTCCATACAAACCTCTGTCCAAGTGTTCTTGTTGCTACAGCTGCTAAGACAGCTGAAGAGAAAGTTTTCTCTGTCCTGGCAGATGATGCAGTAACACGTTCTGTTCCTTGCACAGGAACAACCTGCTCATCTCTTCCAGGCTGAGGTCCTTCCAAATTTTCCACTTCCCCACTGCTCTTTGCTGCAGCTGGCGTACTCCACTTATCAAAATGCAATCTACAAATGAGAAACAGCATTCAAATATGCTGCTATAAATCCTGAGTGCACAATAAAGTATTGTGAGGATGAACAGATGCTCCTGCTGACAGCATCTCAATTCCTATGAACGAGCTTCCCTTTGGAAACTTGCTGCAACACAGGTGAGCAGTAGGGCTTTCCAGTATAGTGGCAAGTGCCCACAGGCAACATGGAGTCAGCGTGTGACTCTTGATCAAAGTAAAGGCTGCTCAGCAAGACAAATTCCTAATTTTAAGAGGATGTGCTTGAGAAATTGCCAGGTTTCCTAGTCATAGGTGCACTATCTTTCCAATCTCATTCCATCAATGGGAATCAATTGGATCAGTGTCAGTCCATCTTTATGATCTACCCCAGAGATTCAGTCCTCTAGGAAAGCAGAACTGTGGCCAGGACACTGGCCAGTGCTGCAGTTCAGCTTCAATTCTTCCAACAAGGAGATAATAATCACAACTGAAGCTATTTTACTTTGAAAAAAACATCTGTATATTCAGAGCAAGAGGAACAATGACTGCTCATTTCTGCTTTAACAAATTTTTGTTAACTTTTAAAGTCAACGCTGTCAATAGGATTCACTGAAGAAGTCTAGATGATCTGAGAAGCTGATACTTTCCTGGAAAAAAGAGTTTAAATATATTTTGACAGGCTTCCTTCACTTGGGTACTGCACTTATCACCAGAATATTAAATAAAATATAATTCTGCCCTTTCTAAACCCAGATACAGAACGTCCTAAAAAGCTTTCAATTATTTTTTATGAGTTCACAATCCAAACTCAATTTACCCTGAGGGGGAGGGCACACCTGGAATATGACACCACAACCACGTTCAGCTCTACTTACTTAACTGCAGGAGAACTTTTTGCTTCCTCCACAGGAAGAGGTGATCCAACAGCCCCACGATTATTCTCGGGGTCCAAAGGCACAGCTGGACACTGGCATGGTGCTTCAACATCTTTCAAAGTATTTTTTTTTTCACTTTTAGACACAGGAGACTCTGTCTTTTTAGAAGTAGCTACATAATCAGGTGTTGCAGCCTTCAAGTGTGATTCACATGACACTCCTGCCATATACATAGAACAGGTTTCATTCTTTTACTTAAAATCTTACAAAATCCCAAGAAATAGTTACTTTAAAAACCTTAATTCAGTAATAGTGTGACCAACCTCTGCTGCTGACTGGTTTTAGCAGTGATGCAGGTGAGGGTTCTGCAGTCTCACGGGCTTTTTTCACAGAGCTGGCTGACCCTGCCTTGGGCTGTCATAGTTGGTCACAAATAATGAGATGAAGTAAAATATTTGATAAAGCAAGAGTATTTTAACAGGAATATATATTTCTAGAGAACATGAATATAATTAATGTTCTTCCCTTAATTCATACTCATTCAAATCACAGTTCTATTTCACCCAAACACTTCAACTTTCTATGGTGTAAAACTCTAAAAGTAACTGTAAATTTCAAACAACAGGTAAAACAGTGTGTACAGTAAAAATCTATATGCAGCTTTAACCAGACATCTGGCTAAATGTCTGGTCATCTTGAGGTAAACTACTTATTATTGTCATTAGAATGAATTCATTTAAACTGTTTAATTACCCTTTACTAAGACAGGCTGAGGTTTAGCAAGAATTGATTTGAGATTATATTCTAACATCAGACTAAATTAAACAAACACCATTATAAGGTTGCCGCTTCTAAACCCTACCTTTAATAGAATATCCTACATAAAAAAGTAAAGTCAAAATATTAAAACTAAATATACATTCTAGATTATTGGCATCATCCTCTCAGGCAGCACATTAACAAGGCCTTCACCTTGTTTCCACTCATCAACAAAGTTACAGACATATGAAGTTATTGTATAGATAACTATCAGGAGTTATCCAGCTGCTTTTCTACATGAATCCCCTTTAAATTTTACTGCCCATCTGATAGCTAAGAACTGTGCCCATATATTTGGCAAAGTGACCACAACCAACTCCAGTGGAGTCCAAGACAGCCAAACCCACCACCAGTAATAAGGCAGCGTGCTTCAGCCTCAGACCATGAGAAATTTAACTATCCTGGACAAAAAGCTGAAGAAGCTTTCATTAGTAAAAACCCAAGAAAAAAAATCTATTAAATAATTCTACTTATAGAATATTTACTGTTAGAGCACAACAAACTAAACAAAACCACACATTTTCAACAACTATCATAGATCATTAAATTGTAGCCTACATACTTTTACAGTGCTCATACACAACCAAATGCTACAGAATTGATCTTGTACCCACCTGAACCTGTATGCAGTGCTACACTATGACACTGACAGAACTCACCCTTTGTCCCTGGATTGAAGTCCTCTTCTCATTTTTCAAAACAAAGGTTGAGCTATTTGGAGAGTTTATTGTAAGATCGCTGCTGCAACCTATGAAGAAAAAAACAGTAAATATGGGAATCTTGGAATTGTCCACGTTTTATTTATTTTAACAAGTTCTAAGGCTCACTAAGGTCGTGTAAATCCAAACAAGAAAGGAATCAGATGCTTGAGAAAGGGATTATAAGACAGCTAAGACACAGCTCTAAAATGCTGAGAAGGGGCTGTTCTAAAAAACCCTGAGAAATACTATTTTTATCTATTTTATCCCTATTTTTTATTTCTATGTACTTACCACTAAATATAACACAAGGAAGAAAATAATTATTTTCTTTTATCAGCAAATCAAGCAAAACACCAAATAAGAGCTTACTTTCAAAACAATCCTGTATGAGTTTCAGTACGTTTTGACCTGGCTGTAGATCAATTTTATTTCTAGAAAGAAGACAGAAAAATATTTTCAATCAAAAATGCCAAATGCTCTTATCCCAAATATTAACATAGCAAAGTTTTACTTCTAAATATTTTAGGTTATTATTTCTTCAAGTTCAGACTTTAATACATTTTTACCTACCATTTCCATGCCTAGATATCTGCAAAGAAATTTGTCTAAGTAGGAATTCCAGGAAAAAAAGCCTCACTGCCACAGATTATAACAAGAATGAAGAATTCTCTCTACATTAAAGAAAACATGCAACTACTGCAACAGCCCTGAGGTAAATGAGCTTTAGGCTGACTAGAGTCTCACTTGAACAAATAACTTTTTTATAAATCAGACCTGGAGCTATGTTGCCTGCACAGTGATGCAGTCGGAACCAGGCCTGAGGTATTCTATCCATAAGCAAGTGACCAGCTCAGCTTGTTGGATTATTATTTCAAACCAGCATAAATGGAAAGGAAAGAAGTGAGTGATTCACCAGAAGTGAGTGATTGATAAGCTCATTAAATGCATTTCCAGAAATGAATTTCAGCAACAAAAACTTCACAGACTCCTAACATGCATGTAAAGAACATCACAGCACTGCAAATGCTCAAACTCGTCTCTAACATTTACCAGCAAGGTCCAAATACGCTGGAACTCTGCCTGGGTTTAATTTCCCTGCTCCTTGAAAGGCAACATGTTTGCTCAGATCACTGCTTCCCTACTCAGGCAGCCCAGTTAGGGCTACCTTAGGTACAGCTACCCACAACCTGCTGCCTCAGCAAAGGAAAACCTCAGAGCCTTGTCCCCCCACAGAGCTTGCTCCTCTTACCACTAAGAAATACAAGAAATTTGTGAAACATCATATGATCAGTTTAATAAGGTACATCAAGTAGTTTTGACATTTAGCTCTAAAATAAAAATCCAGGTACATTTTCCAGAATCTAAGAATGGGTGTTTAAATGTAAATTACCCTCCTCCATGGCAGAATCTTGCTCTGTAGTCTTTTTTTAAACGATTCTGTGAAGAAATAAGAATCAATTTTTACTAAGCATGATGACACCTGACAGAAAAACAAGTAAGCAGATCTCGAGGATTCTTGAGACATCTTGAAGTAGTGGGAGAGTGGGAGTTATTGTTTTTCTTAGAATGCCACAGTGCCTCTTCATACACTTGAAACCTAAGTATAACCAGTCATTCGAACAGCAGACAGGACTCCAGCCATTTACCACAACTAGAGCAGTAATAATTCAAGCAGCAGCACATTCTCTGTGTAATCAAATAAAGCTGCTGACCTGGGAACCAGCATGGTTGTAGTGGATAAAATGGGAATAAAGGGCAAAAAAAATTCAACAGCAAAGCAGAGTGCAATTCTTCACAAATGTGACAGGAAAATAACTCAAAAAAAAAGTAAATGTTTAGCTGAAAAACAACTATAATCTCTTCCTGATTCGAGTAAGTTTAGAATATTTAGCAATGTGGAGAGTATCTAATCCTAACACAAGAGAATTCTGCACGTTTTTGTGAAGTTTGCCATATTGACAGTATTTTGCAATTCATTGTGATTCCCCTTTGGCTATTACTTCCGGTATCCAAAATAATCAAACTCTATACGGATAGATTTCACTGCAAATTTTCAACATCAGTTTAAAGTGGTAGAAAGAAGATACAGGGAAAACAACTGACCAAAAGACACTACTTCAGAAACTATACAGAAGCACACTCCGCAGTCAATCCGCAATCGGACATAAACTTAAACCCCCTTCCCTTCGCAGCAGAGTGCAGCACAATGCACTGCGCACTAAAGAAATTAAAATTTCCTGCCAATGACCTAAAAGAGCCTTTAACAGTTCATTTATTATTGTGTTCGTGTCGCGCTACACATGAAGAATTTTAAAACTTAAGCACGATTCTAGCGTGCCTGCACAAATGTCCTGCTCCTGATGCGCTCACTCTCCCGTGGAAGCCGGCTCTCCCGAGGCAGCCTGAGGGGAACGGGGTCCGGCACAGACACTGGTGCGCTCAGGGGAACGGGGCTCCCGCCAGACCAGCCCCACAAATGTCTGTGCCAACCGCCCGGACCCGGAGTGAGCGCGGAACCCCAATGCCAGCCTCGCTCTCCCCAGGGGGAAGAGGAAGATCGGCCCCGGCCCTCCCCTCAGGAACGCGCCGAGGGCCGCGCCTCTTCGCTACGGACGGGCCCGGCCGACGCCCACAACAAACCAGACAGACAGACAGACAGAGACACACACGCGGACAGACGCGGACATACAGAGACACACACAGCGGCCGCTCCCGCGCTCTCTCACCAAGGCCTGCGCCATCCCGGAGCGGGGCCGGCGCGCGCGCGCGCCCCCAGCGCCGCCTTCGAACCTCGCGCGCTCTTCCCGACGGGCGCGCGCGCACGGCCGGCGGGCGGCAGCGCCTCGGCCACGCCCCCCCGGCCCCGTCCCATTGGTCGGGGCCGCCGCGCGCCCGGCAGGGCAGCTCGTTTAGGCGCGCGCGGCTGTTGCGCCTGCGCAAAGGCAGCTGCTGCGCCCGTCGGCCCCGCCCCTTCTCCTGCCCGCCTTACCCTGAGGGGTCGGGCGGGGGATGCTTCCCGTTCTTTTATTTCGCCCGTGGGAAAAGCCAGTTCAAATTGTCGGGTTTCGAAACGCTACAAAGCAGCCCTTGTCACCACGGGGCGTTGCAATTTTTTCTTTAAGATTCTACTGAAGAACTCAACAACGAGCAAAAAAAACCTGCTTGAGAACGTAAGGGCGCAGAACCTTACAGTGCCGGCAAAACATTGCCCAAAAATACAGTTTTAGTGATGCTTTTTATCACACACTTGTAATCGGAACACCAGGTCTTATCCCTATCCTTTCTGACCACTAAAGGGAAGGCCCATTCTATTTTAAAAGTACATCATAACGCCGGAAGTTAGCACTTTCTTCTCACGAAAATAGTTTAGATCACTTTGTGAAGAGGGCGCTGCTCAGTGTGCATCAGAACAGAGCTGTAGTTTTCTCCCTATGAATTTAAACTTGTATGCTGCTGGGACAAGTGGTAATTTAACACTCCTTCCCTGTCTCTCACCCGTGCCATACAAAAGGATGGGCACCAACACAGTTCTGCTGCTAGCAATGCTCATGGAATGCTTATGCTTATGGAACTTACGGCTCCTTTAGGCTTTGTACACCACGGATAAGCATCTGCACCAGCTACTTAATCAACCGCACAAAATATACCTTTACTAAAATAAATATTCAAAAGGTCTCTGGTCAAATTTATCAAGCTTTGCACAAAGGTTTAGATTGCTGCACTGTGCTGCACATTTGCTTTCTGTAATTGCATGGGATTGATAAACTTTCAATTTCAGCTTTTGGCTGAAATTCAGTTCCTTTCTTAAAACTACTGGCCTATATTCACATTGTTTCAAAGACACAAGGAAAATTACAAACATGAAGATCATAAACTTATCTAAAATCTCTACTTGTATTTGATGACAAGTCTGACAGGTGTACGAACTCCCTGCCTAGCTCAAACCCGTATTATTTCAGGATGTGAAAAGCCATGAAGAGGTGACAGCCTAACTGGTGCCAGAGTTGTTCTCCCTATATACCTCTATTCTTGCATAGTTTTATCTTTTTAATAAGCAGTCACATATTTCACTGTACATAGGAAAAGGGTGGGAAAATGTATGGAAACATCTATTTTTTACTTGTGGTATAGATAATAAAAGCTTAAAACCATCTGATCCATTAAAACATGCTTGTTAACAGTATTGACACCCTCACACAGAATCCTCACTACTCCTAACATTAAAGAAACATGATGACTAACCAGAGAGAAAAGTTGATCTGGCTGCTTAATACTTGGCATGCACAAATTAATTAACTGCATCTATTAAGAGTGATAGAAATTCAGAGAAAGCTGGTGTAAATATGAGCAAACTCTTCAACAAAGCATTTGACTGAGAAGGATCTTCATTGCTGATATAAAACTTCATTCCTGCAAATCAACTGCTCTCTCAAAGAGTAACATTTTGAAAGAAAGCTATTTGAAGTGCTCTAGTGGAGAGACAGTTCTTCATCATGGCAGGAAGACAGCAAGCTTTAGCTGCTCCACAGGAATTGTGCATCAAACAGTCCTAGACAAACACAAGCTTTCACTGCCATGAACAAAAATAAAAGAGATAAAAGCAGTTCTCAGGTTCCAGGTTGTGCTACAAGCCTCTAGTTTGGTAGCACTGTGACAACATTGGAGATTTGCTACCCCAAAATTCACTTGCCCAGAGCCTTTTTAGTATGACCATGCTGAGCACCTGCAGAGACTTTTGATAAAAAGCAGGAACAGATTGAAAAACTGGCTCTATCAAACACAAATACTGAATCAGTGTACTCCACAATCTTCCATATAAACACCTTCACTGAATCAGTGTACTCCATAATCTTCCATTTAAACACCTTCACTCTCCATATCAGAAATTTAAAAATGTTTAAAGCATGAAGATCAGTTTTAATGAGCCACTTGATATGCCAAGTTTTTCTACAGAAAGTCCTCTTGAATTACTAGTTCTTTTACCTAGATTAATTTATATCCAAAAATTTTAAAGGTGTGCTAATAAATATCTAGAGCCATTGTGCATTTTTAGTTTTTCCATAACCAACTTTTCAGCTGAGCAGAACCCATCCAGAGAGCACCCATCCAGAGAGCATCCATCCATCCAACAGAGACACACACAATAAGAGCAGCATAAAGATATTACTTTATCTGTAATTTCTGCCTGTGATCCCTGCCAGCCTTGACCAGGGCTTTTTACAAGGCTCTCAAAGGCGTACATGTCATTAGTAAAAGCCACTGCATGAATTATATCTGACAGTTTACTTTAAACCCTGAGGACAGTCATATGGTATTCTAGAACAGTACTGAGACTTTACTATTTTTAAATGCTGCTTATTTCAAAAGCATAAGCATGCTGCTAACACAACACTAACATAACAGAGCATACTTACTCAAAGTTTCGTTTCCCAGCCTCCAAATGTGAGAGGTGACAGTGTTTTCTTGTTGACCTAAACCTTTAAGTGATCCTTGGCACTAATTAGTGACATTATTAAATTAAATGTGAAGATATCCCTAAAGCTAAATGAACTATGATTGAGGATAAACAGCTAAGTTGTTAATAGCTTTTGCAACAGCTGCAGGACAATGTTCAGTAACAGTTTCTAAAGCTGAAACATATGAGAGGGTACTTCAGTTTTAAAGTTTTTATTCTAATCTTGCCTTGCTCTACCATGATGGGGAGAAAAAAAAGTACTACCTCAAGTACCCAATGCTTAAATGAGTTAAATTATATGTTTTTGTAACACACCTCTGCCTCACCATAGCAGCAAAACTAGTCCATAATGACTTCCAATTAAGCAGAAATTTTATAATTACATATCCCAATAACTGACCAGTGAGGGTAAAACCTCGTGGTTCAGTGCCACTCAGACTTGTTCTGAGGACAGGTGTACAGCACAACAATTTGCTAGAGAGAAATGGTACCAAAAGGAGCAGAGCTGAGGTAACAGTTTGCTTTGACAAACATCCAGAGGTATTTGTCTTTTCCTCCCTTTAACATCAAGTGCTATAGTGATTTTAATTTGGTGAGGGCAGAAAGGCTCGACCACATTTTCTCTTTGTTGAAGACCAAGTTTTATTGTTGAAAGTGCTAATTTGGCTCTCCGATAGGTTTTCACTTTCCCCACACTGCAGTATGCCACAAAGAACAGTCTTAGTGCAGATAATCAACAATTCCAGCTCTCTGGACTTGAGGGGAGTTTGACAATTTACACCCCCTGCCTATGCTGAGACTGATAGAAGACAGCTGTGCTGACCACAGCACCACTAAGCAGCCACACAAGAAAGCAGTTCCTCTGCTTTTAAGTGGGAGTTTAAACCTTTCAGATGGATCTAATCTCAAATGTAGATGGCGGGAATGACATTCTTGTTTGAGAATGGAGTAACATATGAAATGAGTTTCAGATGTTCTTAGAACACCAGGAGTATCATAAAATGGTGCTTCTCCTATTTTTTGCACTATTCCCTAAGCAAATGCAAATTGCCTAATTTGCAAATGGGGACCATTTCTTAGGTTCACCATTCTTCTTGCTTTCCTCAATACAAATCTTCCCTTTAAGGTAAGGACTGTACTGGACATTCCATCTCATGGAGTGACCAATCCTCCTTTGAGCAAACAGGCTTGAAGAATACAGGAGCAGAAGAAACAAATCCAGTTTGTCTTCAGTGCAAAGCCACTGATTTTCACCATTTAATTAAGGCTTC